ACGGCCTAAAATGACTCATAAATGTAAAAAATGTGATTGCATATTCTGCAGACGATCCCTGCATGAGCTTGACAACTGGGGATGCAAATGAATCATACATGCTGAGGGACAAATTTGATGTTGTCGCCCTCACTGCTATTCTCTCAGCACCATCTAGTGTTCATGCAGGTGGAAAATTCATGAATGTATAAGCAAAGAGGCAAAAAAAAATGTCTGGCAGTCAAAGCTCCAGTTAATATTTCAGCTTTGATTTTAATACATTGTACAATAATTGAATTATCAAAATTTAATCAACCATATTCATTTCTGTATTGATTTCATTTCTCAATTGTAACTTTTCATCGTTACTTACTTACTCTCTTGTTTTAATGCTATGGAGCACAAGTAAATTAAACTAAAACAGTCTCTGAGAAATGGTTTTGTGTGGTGATTTTCAGATTGGGGTTTTGACAAGTAGATCTGCAAACAGATGGTTACCTGTGACGTGAAATACAGACACTTTTCCCAACAACAACTGTCTCAAACATAGAAACAAAATGTCCAGACATTTTTCAAACCTCACCATCAAGGATTTAACAGAGAATCTAACAGCTTTATCTACCTAATACCACGAAGCAAAACCTTAAAACACCTTGGATTTATTATAGTGTTCTGCAGTAAGTATTTCAACCACAGAGAGGCACTCAAAGACCAAACCAGACAGCAGTCACACATGAAAGCTCTTACACATTATGAACTCAAGATAATGGCAGAGCAGATACGATCAAACCAAGCAGCGATTTAAAAAATGAACCTTAAGATATCAATACATCTATGTCCAAATTTTATCCACAAAAGCAGAAAGTAGGCGGAGAAATGCTGAGCTGGTAAAACGGGGATGAAACTCACCCCTGCGCTCTTCATCACCAGCACACATCCTCTTTAAGATCTAAGTAGCTGCTGTCTCAGGCCAACCACCAGTGTGATTGAATGTCACTTTTATTTGCATGAACTACTTAAAGTCATTGTGTCTGCATTCACGTCCAAAGGAATTAAGTTGAGTAAAGTAATCGCTGGAGCTTCAGTATCTCACGGCTATTAAATCTACTCAAGCGTGCTCGCTGCATACGCAGGTCATTACAGGTTTGAATATGACCTCATGACCGTCCTGTCACATGTTATACCTTTACACAATCGCCCTTCATGTCGCTCCTCACTGGGGATTTTAATAAAAGAGCAATGTGTATGAGAAGATATCAAGAATTCATATCTCGTGCAGACTGCTCCTACCTCTGGCAACGAGATCCAGAGTCTAATCAAATATAAAGTCCATGTTTAAAAGATTAGACATAAGGGTTAAATTTCACAGTGGCAGCAGAATAAAAGCAGAGAAGATCATTTCCAAAGCAGAGACGTTACTGTAGACACCTATGGTATACCTCTGACATTTACAGTGCATTGTTAATATATTGAATTTATTATGTGTCCACAGATGCTCAGTGTTTACAGGGACACTGAGCAGCCTGTGGAGCTGCAATATGCCACGCTATGCAAAGGAATACTTCACTTTGCAAACCGTGCCCTATTTGATTTTAGCTTTGCCTTTGTTCATGAGACACGTGTTTACCTGAGATCTTCTCAGCTACATGCCCTTAATACAACCTTCATTTCTCTTTGGAAAAAAAAATACAACTGTGTAGCTGTTGTGTTTTTAGGATATGTAACTGTGTTCTGGTTTGTCAGTGTGCATAACAATGAGATGAGCTTCTTTAAGTGGATGCAATGATGCAGACAGGACAAAACAGATGGTACATGTGAACATGTGTTGACAACAGCGTGAATATCTGTGGTGTGTTTTATAAATGTGATTCGTTTGTCTTCTTAGCAATTAGGTCATATGAATGAGCAGCCTCAATGTCAAACGGCTTTTTTTTTTTCAGGGGTCCAACTCTAATTCTTATTTCTGGCTGTCATTTATAACTAAGCACTTTGTTTACACTGGGGTAAAGACCTTTAATGCCTCTTTAAAAAGTGACAGTTAAAGGAGCAGGTCTAACATAGCGGGAAATATGCTTTCTTTCTTCAGTATGAGATGAGAAGACTCTCATCTCTGTAGGTTTATTATCAAACTAGAGCCAGCAGCCAGTAAGCTTAGCTTAGCACAAAGACAGGGGGAAACAGCTAGCCTGGCTTTCTCCAACATTTAAAATCTGCCCCGCACCTTTGAAGCTCACTAATTAACATGTTACATCTTGTTTTGTTAGGTTTATGGTTTATGGTACTGTTGTGGTTTTAATGGGAGTTGTGTGCTGCAGCTATCCAAAACTTTCTGTCTGTATGCTAAACTAATCTAATCACATCCTGGATCAAATTTAGCGTACAGACATACGAGTGGTATCGATTGTCTCATCTAACTCCTTGCAAAAAAGTAACTGTTCCTTTAAAGAAGAGTTCCAATTTATTACAACACGGGTCTTGCTTTAATAATCTCAGCCATTGTTACCATTTCTTATGATAACATCATACTCAAAGTAAATGCTGATATCTGGAAGCAAGGCAACAGTAAACAAAGTCTGACAGGTAAAAAAAAAAACAAGCAGTCAGAGGCTCCAGTAGGTTGTAAACAAAGATCATCTACTATTGTCTCACTCTGACATTTCTGGAGAAATATCAAAAAAGACATTTAGTTGCCAGAAGAAGTGAAAAATGTTACACCAGAGAAACTAAAAAATCTCTACATGCTTGTGCTTTTGAGTTTTATTTAGGAAGGTTATTCCAGGTTCATCCTCCTCCTCCTCCTCCTCCTCACAAGGTTTTAAAAAAGCCAACAGATCAGCTAGATTTTTTCAGACCACTTTATTCAGAGGAGAATTCTAAAGTTAGCCCAACTGAAATGTGAGTAGTAATCCCTCATTGAACAGGAAAAGTATCTGAGAAAAACTACAGCAAAAACTGTGGGTCAAAATTGAACCACGGAACCAGGAGGTCAGTCGGTAAAACGGCCAGATTGGGTAACAATTTAACTGTCAGCCTTTATTTTTCTTCAATATAAGTTTGGTTTATTCGGAGGTTTATTAAAAACCTGTATGATTGCTAATATATTTTGTCTATATTTTTTACTAATGTTGCCAGGTTTCCAGAAATTAACTCTGTGAGTACACAGTTATTATTACCAGTAGAAATCATTGCCAAAATAAAAAAAAAAAAACACCCGTTGGCTCAGGCCTGTCTCATTTCCACTAGTATCAGTCATAAATTTCTACACTAATACAATAATAGTTCTTGAGTCATGTAAGTATACAGCAAATCACTGTGAACACAACTCATCCTTGCAGTTTTAGCACTGCCATATGTAATTTCACAGCCAAAAATGCATGAAACTGGGCAAACGCAGGGTGGAATTACAGATGTGACCCTGCAGCGCTCTTATTCATATTTAATGAGAAAGCAGGGCTTGGGGAGGACTTTTATTTTCTATGGAGGAGACTCTGAACTAATCAATAAGTAATATAAGGAAGATTTACAGGGATCCACTGAACGTCCATGAGGACTGAGCTCTTTATGTTTCCGCCTTGTTGCTATCTGTCTGTCGTCCCACTTTCGCCTCGTCTTCTCTGTCTTATCTTTATGTTCAAGCTCTCCTCGCGTCCTCGCCGCAGCCTGGCTGTGTTTAACTACTAGAAATTAATTCTCTATCGGAGCATCTTCACACTGGCGACACCTCTCTGTTTCAGAATTATTTTAAGGTTTTACTGATCAAACTTCCTTGCCAACAATATATGTCACAGAAGTTTTGACAACAAACAATACAAGCCAGATGTTAACTTCAGGTCTCACAGGAAATTATGATTCGAAACAAGAGGTCGACTATTTGACAACAAGAGCTTGAAATAACATGCTTGAAGGTCTCAGGCTAACTAAATCTGTATCAGATTTCCAATCTTAAACCTCATTTAATATTGGATTGCCTTTATAAAATGATCTTTTATTATTGGTATTGATCCTTGTTTTATGCCTCTTGTCTTATTTTTTATATTTATTTCTTGTTTTGTTTTATTGATTTTGCAGTAAATTGTGTGTTTTATATGCAGTGCTTTGTTTTGTAATGAGGTTTAGAAAAATATCATAGATAAAGGTTTTTATTATTGCAATGATCATATTACACTTTCGATCTACCTGTGTAGATGTTACATGTAGGTGTCTCGATAACACTATAGCACTTAGCGCTGACGCTTACAGCACGTAAATGATTGTGTCAGCATTACAGATAGATAAAAATGTAAGGTATAGGTAGAAGATAAAATGGAAAGGAATAAAGAGATAAAAACTTTTTTATAAGGGACAGTATTTTCTTAATTACTGGGTACTCTTTCAATAATTACAGGGTACAGTGATGTACAGTGATAGTCTGTGTTGTTACTGGGTATTGGGTATTTCAATTAATTAGTTGTGGTATAATTTCTGTTGTTGTCAGGCTAAGCATGAGATAAAGAACATCACTTTATCTACGAAAATATTTTATGTGCATGTTTTAACAATGATAATAAAATGTAGTAATTATAATAGAGATAATGATAATATTTTTGTCAGGGTGGATGAAAGTAGTAATACCACATGTATTTATCTGTGTTAAAACCAAAAGCAATAATTATGTATAATGTTTAATATATAATGGAGTGTTTTATTGTTTTATTACTGGTTTATTAATATTGATGCATTAATGTCAGCAGGCCTTAAATGTTGAGGTGGAGNTATATATATATATATATATATAGTGATGGTTACTTTTAAGCGAAGACAGTGGAAATGTCGCAGCAAGCTCCCTTATCATAGTGTTGGTTTGGAATATGTGGGCTGTACAATAAACCAGCCCTTCGTTCAACCCTTTTACCCTGACAGTACACTGTAGTTTCCAGTGTGGTGCCTCTTATGTTCTTATTATTTGAACTGTAATTTGTGGGCTGTAATGTCTTAACAATGCATGAATCAGAACATGATGCATAATATTTGATCAGCATTACCTAGTGATTGTCCGGCGATGACCCTAGCGTTCTCTCCGGCCACGGCTGCCCTGGCGTTCCTCTCACTGGCGTACTGAACGAAGGCGTAGCCCTTGTGCACCGAGCATCCCACAATCTTCCCATATTTGGCGAAGATGGCCTCGATGTCGGCCTTGGTCACCACAGCTGTGTTGAGGTTGCCGATAAATACGCGGGAGTTGAGGGAGCGCGGGTCATTCTTGTTGGTCACGTTGCTGGTCTGGGTCTTCCCAGTCATCCTAGTAGTCCTGCAGCACTGCCTGCTGGGAGACACAGTTGGACACTGCTCAGGAAGCCAGGAAGGTTAGAGGTTACTTTCAGAACACTTAACGGCGAGCACCAGTGGGATGTAAACATTTATCTGAGCTGAAAGCTTATGTTGTAGGTATGTTGTAGGCTCATGGTGTATGTCAGGGGTCAGCAATTAGCTTCATCTGTGGGCCAGTTTTTTTCAGTATTGCTTAATGGGGGGGCAATTTTACAGACAACGTGGAGACGCAGCTGTGTATCTTGACATCTTTTTCTTAGAAGATTTTGTTTTTGAGTATTTTATTGTTGTCATTTTTAGAGCCCGACCGATATTGGATTTTTGGGGCCGANGGTCAGCAATTAGCTTCATCTGTGGGCCAGTTTTTTTCAGTATTGCTTAATGGGGGGGCAATTTTACAGACAACGTGGAGACGCAGCTGTGTATCTTGACATCTTTTTCTTAGAAGATTTTGTTTTTGAGTATTTTATTGTTGTCATTTTTAGAGCCCGACCGATATTGGATTTTTGGGGCCGATGCCGACCCCGATATTAGGGAGTAAAAAAATTCAGATATCGATATATTGCCCAAAATATATATATACAGTATGAACACGCAGGATATTTTACAGTTAACAATAAACTTTATTGTTCAAAATGACAAAAATACTGAAATGGTAAACTTCAGCGGAAATTAAATAAAATAAATTAAAATATATAAAAACAAATAACCAAAACATAAGAACAAGTATGTATGTATATATATATATATATATATATATTTAACTTGAATGAAACATGCTGCCTATACAACTTGACTTGGCCCGAGCATTTCCACTGCATTATTGCTTCTTAATAAAAGAATTCATATCAGCGCATATCGGAGAATATGTGTGCCGATATCGATGTGTCTGTGATAAAATCGGCTGACCGATAAATCAGTCGGGCTCTAGTTGTTTTAATATTTTATCCAAAGACAGATGTCATTTTACCCTTAAGAGTCCCAGCAGCTTGTGTTAATACTCATTCAGCCAAAAAATGACTCATGTAGGAAAATGTATGTTTTATGATGCTCCATGAGGCTTTTAATGAAATCCCTGTTGCCACCTATTTGTGTTTAAGATGCAAATCACTGATTACAATCAAATGTTACAAAGTCATGTTTATTGGGATTTACAGGAGCCTTGTATTTACATCATGTTACCTGCACCAACTATAAAATATTTCAGGTGGAGAGCCAGATTTTTTT